ACACACATCTTATTTTTTTTACTAAACAAGAAAAAAAAAACACTCCAGCAACCATAATAAGGCTTTTATTTGCGAGAAACCACACTTGTCTCTGCATGCAGTACTAGAACTTAATCACTCAGATTCATAATACATTTTGCCTGAATTGCTTTCATAAAGCATCTGCAATGTACGAACATGTAAAACTGATTTTTGGGAGATCTGACGTGGGCATCATTTTCAGGACATGGCAGGAGCCAAATGTGTTTGAATCATTTTATCTGTACTGAACTGTCTAGGAGAATCTTCCACCAGAATATGATTAAAAGAAACCCAAAATACACAAAAACCTTCCTCCACATATAACCCACTCCACTGATAATCCTGACTTCAGAAAAGCAAATATCGTTTCATCTGCCGATCATTCTCCCTAAGGATGAGAGCCACTTCAAAACAAATGGAGAAATAAATTAATAAGCGACAATTGACTTGCATGTGTCGCTTTGATAGCGTGCTTCAAAGTGTCTCCTCTCCTTCAGTGACTGAAGACATCACAGCAGCCACAGCAAAGCCACAGCTTGTTTCTCTTTGAGCGTGTTGTTGCAAATTAAGGTCTCTTTTCAACTGGCTGCCTTTGCTTATCGGAGTTCTGACAGGACGGACATCCCTGACTATCCCCAACCCATCTCAAAGCGACATGCAGACACAAAGATGTGGGTCAAAGGAGCGTGGAGCAAAATTCCACTGCCTGTAACACCATTCTCAGACCTGTGAAGAGCGCCAAGTGCCTTTCACGCAAAAAAACAAAACAAAACAAAACAAAACAAAACAAAAAACAAAACAAAACAAAACAAAACAAAACAAAACAAAAAACAAAACAAAACAAACCAAAACAAAAAACAAAACAAAACAAAACAAACCAAAACAAAAAACAAAACAAAACAAAACAAAACAAAACAAAACAAAACAAAACAAAACAAAACAAAACAAAACAAAACAAAACAACAAAAGCACTTTCTTAAGAAAGAGTGGCTGAGCATTATGCTTATGAAAGACAACTGCTTTCTCCTCTTGCCAAACACTTAATATAGAACTGTGGCTAAACAAGCTAACCAAAGGCTCTCAAAGGCTGAATAAATAAACCAGTCTAGTGCCAGAAAGAACAAACACGCTTCAGACACACAAGCTGTTATGTGCACTCCAAGCCTTTCACAACCAGTTCTAATGTTGGGATTTGTAGCTAAAAAAAGTTTAATTTGTAGAAAATACTTTAAATTAGAGGCAACAGTTACTACAAGAAATAGACTTTCTTTAACAAGATGGGTGAATACATACATTTTACTCCACAATTAAGACTGCCATAAAATAATTTCATATTTCAAGAATATATCAAACAGTTTGATAAAACAGCTCAATTAAAAAGCTCAAAAAAAGTAACCAGTTGAGATCTGACAAAATGCCAAGTTTATCAGTGTAGGAATATTTTACCCCATTTCCCTGCTCAAATTTCTGGAGGAACTGAATCCTATTTCTTGCAGAACGGTATTGTTTGTATTGAGTTTATCTGTTTGAGCCCCCCCAAAAAACAATCACTTAGACTAACCTAACCCATAATAAAACATAATTTGCATAATTCACAATGCACATTAATAAAACCATGCTAAAACGAACAATATGTAATTATAGAGGCAAATGAGATGAGTTGGTCTTTTTTAAACTCAGCAAACACAAACAAAAAATACATTAAATATATAAATAAATATTATAAATACAATACCCCCCACACACATACACTCACATTCAAAAGTTTGTTAAAAGAGTTGGTCAGTAATATTTAGCACTTTTATACAGCAAGGATGAATAGATCAAAAGTAAAAGTAAATAAAGTTATAATTGCTGTAATAAATGCTGTTCCTTTGAAGTTTTTATCAATCAAATAATCCTGAAGAAGGTATCAGGGTTTCAAAAATATTAATCAATGTTTTCAACATTAATAACAATAAGAAATGTTTTTGTATCATATCAGCATATTAGATTTATTTCTGAAGAATCCTGCGTGAAATTCAGCTTTGTCATCACAGGAAAAAATGACATTTTAAAATATATTAAAATAGAAAAGAAAGGTTGTTTTAATTTGTAATAATATTTCTCAATATTACTGCTTCTGATCAATTAAATGCAGTCTTTGTTAGCATAAACAGATTTCTTTCAAAAACATAAAAAAAAACAATCAAATCGTACTGACCTTAAACTTTTGAAGAGTCATGTAAACAGATCTGAAACTGTGTTAAAATATACACAACAAAAACAACCAGAATCCCACTACTTCTACAGGTCTATTAAATGCTCATTTAAAGTGCAATGTTGCAGTGTTGACTCCATCTCACCTGGGCCACGGCCACCTGTGTCTGCTGCTGCTGTTGGGTGAGCTGCTGCTGGAGCAGCTGGAGCTGGTGGTGCACAGACAGGGGAGTACCAGCCGGCAGCTGACTGTCTGAAGGAAGCAGCAACTTAGGGGAAGCCAGCAGGATGTTGGGCTCTTCAGAGGGCTGGAGAAAGAGAGAGAGAATGGTTGTTTTGTCAAGATCGGTAGTTAATCTACATGTTCATGATTAAGAGTATCAAAAAAGCCTTCTGAAGCCATATTATAGCTTTGTGTGAGGAAATAAACAGAATAAGATGAAAGGGAATTAAAACTCAAAAGAGAATTGACAAAGGCCTTTGACAATGACCAAAATAACAATACAAACTAGTTTAGCAGTCATAACTGCACGACCAGCTCCATTTCAGCCCGTGCTGCATGCTTGCTATTAGGATACAATGCACTGTTCTGACCAGCTCTGTGGTCAAAGATGTCTCTTTGCCGGCCCCTACTGAGGCTCAGATATTAATTAGCACTTCTGTGCAAACAAACAGAGTTCAGAGGGGTGGGAGGCAGTCAACTGTGACAAATTGTTAGTTTTACCCTACATGGCCAACTTATTTATACCCCAGTCGGGATGAAAATATGGTAATGCCAGCTATTGACCTCTCATGTACAGAATGAAGGACTGAGTATGAAAGCCTCAGCAGCAGCGGCCAGAGATAAGACTGATTTTGGCTGAGATTGATGTGCTGCAAAGAGCCCTTTGAAATATTCAGGCATTGCCTGGTGCTGAATCACTAAATTAATGGCTAGACACACCAAATCAGACCTCAGTCGTTTGAAAAAAAAAGTGAACATAAGCATCTACTAGACATAAAACTGATATGGACCCCCTAAGGCATTTCAAGTGTCATTTTTTCCGCAAAAATGTTATCCTATCCCAGTTTAATGTGACAAGGAGTCTGATTCGGCTTTTGGAGTGGTCTAACAACCTAACAAAGTTGACTACCTGATCGTACAAACAATGGAAAACAGAGCAGGTCAGAAAGGAAAGATGGG